AAATTCTTAGCAACATCCATAACCTCACCTACTAGTTGCTAACACAGCCTGCCCCAGCTGTGACAATGAGAAATATGTGTAAATATCACCAAACATCTCTTGAGGATAAAATCTTTGCATGCATCCCCACTCAGCAGAGAATCACGTATCCAGCACAAAGGGGAGACAAATTCTAAAACAAAGAAATAGAAGAGAAGAGGGATACGGGGGTGATGATATATCTTTTGGAGAAAATTCTACACTAATATCCTGATAAATACGAGTGCACAGCATTACAATAAAACAAAAAGAGTATGATTACAAACAATTGTATTCAGACAATTTAAAAAAATCTAGCGAGCTAAAAATGTAAAGTCAAAGTGGAAAAAAAAGAATTACTAAAAAGAAGGCTTCCAGCCAGTAAGATAAAGTAATAGAAAGTTTTAAAAAAAATAGGAAAGAAAAGCAACAAAGTGAAAGATTGCTCCAGGAAAATGACTTTCAAATAATAGATGTTCTAGAAAGTGAGTTTTGAGAGAAAAATGAATAGGAAGAAATCGCCAGATAATTTAGGAAAATTTCCAGGAGACTCTGGTGGAAAAGTTTCTTTAGGTGTCAGTACAGTTGGCTGAGAGTCCCTGACCTCTGTAAACTACTGGAATAGAGGACTTGAAAAAAGAACTTTAAAGGTGACTGAGCAAAAGCTTTGCCACAGAGGACTGGAAATTAGAATGATACTGGGTTTCTCTTCAGCAATAAAGGAGGCTATAACATAATAAAGAACACCTTGAAAAGTCTGAAGAAACAGCTCCCAGTTCTGACAAAGACGTGGAACTACAAGAAACCGCCTATGTTGCTGGTGTGAATGCAAATTGACATAGCCATTTTGGAAAATAGTTACTCCATTTCTCATAAACTTAAGTACAAATTTGTCATATAACCCAGCAATCCCACCATAGAGAAAGAAATAAATTAGATGTACAAAAAAATTAATTCGTGAAGGTTTGTTATAGAATTATTAATAAAATACCTAGACTGATACAAAGCAGTTGCCCATCACTTGGTGAAAGAACAAATCATAGTATAGCCATAGTAAAGGATGCTAAGCCATAAAAAAGAAAGAAACATAGCAGTATGAGTTTCAAAGTCAGTATGCCAACTGAAAAGACAAACACAAAAATCTATGCATGGTGTGATTTCATTTGTACAATATTTGGGGAAAAATGAAACTATAGTAATGCCAAGGAGAGCAGTGGTTTGACAGAAGGGCATGAGGAAACACTTTAGGGCGCTAGAACTATTCCCTATCTTGGTTATAATGACAATCATACTACTAGGTACAATTATCAAAAGCTATGTACTTTTTAATGGGTGAATATTATCTACAAATAATGAATCCATAAGGCTGGTTTTTTAAAGTATAAAATTTTAGGGCCAGGGATTTAGCTCAGTGCTGCCACTGCCTGCCTTGCAAGCACAAGGTCATGAGTTCGGTCTCCAGTATCAAAAAGAAAGAAAGCATAAGGGCCAGGGATTTAGCTCAATGGTGCTGCCACCTGCCTCACAAGTGCAAGGTCCTGAGTTTGATCCCTGGCACCAAAAAAGAAAAAAAAAAAAGTATAAAATTTTAAAAATAATAATTGTTCATGGCCTAAAATTTTATACCTAGCCAAACTATCATTTAATTAACTGCATTAAGAAAAACACATCTCAAAAATGTAAAAAATTCAATACTTTCTAGGTAATTTTTCTTAGAAGGATCCCAAAGACATATTCCATCAGCATGAAGAAACTCACCAAGGAAGAAGAGGAACTTGGAAGATAGAATCTCTAGCCAGGAAGAAGGGGAACCAGCTGCCAGAGAGACAGTAAAAGACACTGCAGAATGATCGGTCTGCTACAGCTCCACCAGAGCAGGAAAATGGGAGAATGTCTTAGAAAAAAATTACAGATAACTTCTGGCCTTGAATATATTAAGGGGAGATAAGCTCTCTGAAGAAAATGTAGCATTAAAATAGTGCTGCACTAAACTTGTGTACTTAGCAAAGGAAAGGTTAAATATTAACTCCAGAAAAGAAAATGCAGCCAGTGATGGTGCACTAAATGACTTGGCTGTGGTTACATTCACATCAGCATAATAATTAAATAAACACCAAAACATAAGTCATATTGAGAAAATGGGGAAAAAGGCAAGGCTGTGAGCAGAGATTGGTCCTCGTGTTTTATTTACTCCTTAAAACTGAAAAAGACCTGCATAAGCATGTCTCAGAAACAGGGACATAAATGCTCAAAGACACAGTTTTGTTTGGGGGGGTGCTTGTTTGTTTTTATACCAAGGATCAAGTCCTTGCATATACCAGGCAGGTATGGCACCACTGAGCTACATCCCCGGCCCAAGATGCAGCTTTTAAAAGTTGAAAGATTTTGCCTTTGAGATAAAGGATATGGAGAAAGCAGGGTAATGCAGAGCCCCACTGGTTTCATAACATTTTTAAAAGTAAACTTTAACAACCACAAAAATAAAAAACAGGTGATATGCCAAGAAAGGAAAGTTCTGGTGCTCTGATAAAATCAGGCTGAGTTAAAGGCACAGTCTAGAAGGATGTGAAGGGGAAATGGGGTGGCACAAAGGAGGGGACAGCTCGGAGCACAGATAAGGAGCAGGTCAGTAGCAGCAGTGGCTGTAACAGCTGGAAGGGATTAATGGAGACGGGGTGGGGGAAGTGGACTCAGCCCTCAGAACAGGGCACGGTGCTTTCAAAACCGTCTCCATCAGCCTTGTGTTCCTCTGCAGGTCAGGGTCTTTAAGCACCAATTTTATTTCTCAAACAAAGTGCTCCATTTATTCTATTGTACAAAAGGTTATCAAATACAGTGAGAGTCATAACAATGAAGGGTAGTATCGAGGCAATGCTCTTGCTGCCCAAATTTTCAAGGACGCACCCTATTTCACACTTACATGTACCGCACTCCACTGGAATGTCTTTGGCAGATAAATGCGCATGTTTCTACTTTCTTTGGACTTCTGCTCAAGATTGAGTAAGGTCCACAGGTCTTGCGAAGAGCATGAATAAGAAAACACAGCCTAAACCATCTTGTGAATACCATGCTTGAAGAATTGTCTTCCAAGACATTCAAGGGTACAGACAGTGTAAAATCCAAAATCTAACATACAACGAATGGCACGAACACAAATGGAGACGGGTCAGAGCGCCCACCCCATGGAGTTAGTGTTGGGGTTAAAACACGTGCCTGGTATGGCACGCATGCCACATGCCTGTCCCAAGTAGGGGTGGTGGTCACGATGGTGGTGGTCCTGGTGACAGTGGTGGTGACGGTGACGATGGGATGTCCTCATAACCCAATCACCTCCCAAAGAGCCCACACCCAAATATGCTCCCACTGGGGATGGGAATGCAGGGACAAGGCACTCACACAGTAACAGCGCTTACGCACCAGCTCCAAAGACCCTAGTGGTGACTCCATTCCGGCTACCAGGGAAAGAGAGAACGGAGACTCACAGAGCGCTTTCCTTCTCTGAGCCGGCTAGAGAGCCAGCTCCTGGGGCTCACACGGCTTCTGCCCAGGGGTTTCATCGCTGGGCCTCCCTCTCACGGCCACATCTCCCTGCTGGGGAAGGCTGGTAAGTATCTGACGGCTGTTCCCAAACAGGGCTCAGGTGGTCGAAACATCAGCCAGCTGGACCCCAGGACCGTCCATCATTCGGCGGGGCCTTACCCTGTCTCTAGACTTGGGTTCCAGAGCATCTCCCCTAGACGCCCCTGGACTCCCCAAAACCATCCCCCAAAAGAGCCGTTTCCCGTGGCTCTGCACCTACACTTCCAGGAGTGACCTTTGCCTTCTCTCCCATGTTCCAGCTCAGCACCATCTCTGAGACTCAGCTCCTCCCTTCCCTTTCCATTCTTCCTCCACCTGTCTTGCAAAGAACTGGCCTCTTTCCCTTTATCTGTGGGCTTGTCTGTCACTTCCATTAGAAAGCAAACTCCACGATGCCTCACTGAAGTTCCGCCACGAGGGCAATCCGTGGCTGGCCACGTCGTTCGCGTGACTTCCACGACCTTGGTACTGAGGCTCCCACATGGCAGCAGCAGAGAGGACTGAGGCCCAACTCTCAGGGATCACCCAGCCCGCCACTGACTAACCACAGCTGTCCAGCTCTGGGCAAAGTGTGAGCGGGTGTGCCAGAGCCTTTAGCAGACACAGATTCTCCCGCCTCTCCCTGTGCTCATCAAGGGCGTGGAGGGCAGTGCATTCCTGCATTATCTCGCCTCAAGCGCAAACTGGAGGGGAGGTTTTCCTTTCGCACCCACTTGCTTTGTGGCTTTTCTCTCTCCCTTTCTCTGATTCTTTTATTCCTTTGCCTTGCCCTTCCTCCAACCTCACCTTCCTTGGAGCTTGAGGAATCATGAGATCGGTAAGGTGGCGGCGCGCATGGTGGGGGCCCGGAAAAGGCAGGTTCATCGGGGTGGTGTTGCTTCCGGTGACGCGGGGCTTTTGGTGGAGGCTTGTCAGTGGCAGGAAGTGGGGTGTCCAAGGGAGGGGCCGACGCTTCAGGGGAAGAAGAAGGCGGAAGAGAAAGTCTGCCTGCGCCATCTTTTGCAGGAGGCTCCTGTTCGCCATTTTGGGGGCAGTTCTGAGGCCCTCTTTCTGTTGGTGTTTGGGCAGGAAATGCCTCAGACGCCTTTACAGCGTGAGGATCAAGACACTGAATAATTGCTGAGGCAATGGGGAAAAATCCAGCGGGAGGAGGATTTCCCCTCACCTTTCCATGTGTTGCAAATTATGTATCACGCACTCCAGATTTCAGTGTCTACTACATCTGTGCCCGGCATCCAAGGGGATATTTAAGGATAGTCTCCCAGAAGACAATAAGGTGTTCTTTGGGGACCTTTATGCCTCTAGTTTTTAATAATGCTTTTACTAAGGCAGCCTGCACCGGCCACTCTTGACTGAAGATATTACCCATGACAGGGACCCTTACCCGCAGCTTCAATATTTACCCAGTATACATGAGGCCCACGTTGTGGTGCAGAATCAGCAGGCAGACTCGGGGCAGGTTTCTGAAACGCTTCCGCTTTATTTAGGAAATGCACAGGCTTATATAGCTTCTGTGTGCCCCCCCACCGTGGGGGAGGAGCATGGGAGGAGCATTTGATTACATGGCACTTTCTTATAGGTTATGCAGATTCATACATTAGTGGAGAACATCGGGCCATATCTTATTGGCTAGACATATGGTGGGGTGATTCTTCTTGGGCGAGGCGAAGGAGTCACGGACTAGTGGCGGAGGTGTAGCCTATTAGACCCAGGTCTATGCACTTAGGCGAGTTAGCTCAGCCTCAGAGAGGTCTTCGAGTTTGCTCAGAAGACAGGAGTGTGGCGCACCTGGCCCAGCCAGGCTTGAACTTTTCCAACAATTCCCTGTTTTGTCTTTGACTCCAGCACCTCAGCCAAGAGGACCACGTCTTTATGAGTCTGTCTATATCTCTTTCAAGCCAGGTGCCTAATTTTTAAGATGAACAATAACAAAATGATTCCCAAAATGGTTAACACATAGGGTGAGGAAAGAATCAGACCTTTCGCCCAAGTACTTAACTGTGTCCATTATCAAGAGTGACCAGATGGGCGTGGTGGTGCATGCCCGTAATCCCAGCACTCAGGAGGCTGAGGCAGGAGGATCACTGTTTGAGACCAGCCTGGACTACATAGTGAGTTCTAGGTCAGTCTCAAGTACATAGTGAGACCCTGTCTCAAAAAAAAAAAAAAAAAAGAG